CTACTTGTTTCAAATGTTGATGTTTCACCTTGTTCAAAGTTCTACACCTTTCCCTCCCGAAAAAACAAAGCATGAAATGTTTTGCGGCACAAAGGAATATTCTGTAAAATTTCACTTAGTATGTATTATTCCAAAATAGATTACACGGTTACTCCGTACAATTTGGGCTCTCGATAATTTTATTTGTTTTCATATTATTATTGCGATTTTATAAAACAAAATATTTCACTCACCACTCAATATTCTTGTCCCAAAATAGTGTGAAACTAGGATATCATATTCTTGAAGCCATACTTTGTAGTAATTGTTACGGAGTATAACCGTTTCTCTCGTAATGAGTCTCTATTTAAAAGATTGATTGTACTTCTATTTAATTTGGTGTGCAACAAGAAATAAAAACTTCATAGTTGCTCGTGTGTGGAGGAGTTTGCAGTTAGCAATCAGACCATGTTAAATCTTGTTTATTTTATGTTCTTGCAGATTATCCTAACATTATATTCAATTATTGAACTGTTGAAATATTGAAATAATAATATTGCTCATTAGACGGGGAGAGTATAAACATTACCTTGTCCGCTTAAGCGGATCAATATTGAGTTTGGATTCATGATATTACATACTCCCTCCGTCCCTAAAAACATGAGAGCTAGATTTTTTAAAATATTTAAGATAAGTGTATTTTGGTTTTGAGTTTTCAAAAATGTCTTATGATGCATGTGATGGGTACATTAATAGTGAACAGATGTGATGTAATAGGTATGTTAAGATTTAGTAAGAGTAAAAATGATTTTTTAAAATATATGAGAAATTTTTATTGGGACGAATGTAGAAAGAAAGGAGAAAAAATTTCATGGACATCGGACTAAGGAGCATTAAATATTTTAGAATTTTGCTTTTGTAATCCCAAAATCCATATGTAAATTGTAGATCCGTCTCACATAAATTTTTTAGGCCCGGAGTTGGATCCATTCTTTTTCTTTTTTTTGCGAAGCACCAAGTATATTTTTATTAGTGTTCATAAAATAAGTGCCTATTCAAGGATCACCAAAAAATTTATCGTGCAAATCAATATTTTAATACTCCACAATAGTTAGAACTAGATCTGTACAAAAACAGGTATGGACTGAATTTTGGACCTGAATTTGATCGGAATGTACCGGTTCGGACCAGTATGGAAGATTCAAGTCCGGTCCCTGGGTTTTACAAATTGGAGATTCTGGGTTTCCGGTCCGGTCTGGATTTGACCCGGAATTTTCTAGTCCAGGCCCGAACATATTTACATGAATTGCATCCATTATTAATTTAAACCCCAAAAGCATTGGATCGAGTCCATATGGTTTTAGATTCATGAATTTTATTTTTCCAATATTTAGTTTTTAAATATTTTATTTCAGTTTACTATTTTTTACGGCAGTTTATAAATTTGAATAAGTTAGAAATTATGTTTTGATGAATTTGTTACTACTACTTACAAGTACTATTTTTATTTAATACTTTGAACAATGGCAGCTTCTTATTTCAATTTTTTTCCCAGATTTATTTAATAACTTAATTCATTTATAAGATTGCAAAAAAGGTATATATTAAAAAATTCAGGTCTAGAGTAGGCTAAAACTGGACCAGACCAGAAAAACAGGTCCGGACCGAAATTAAACAACTCTGGTCTTCGGTCCTAGAGTACTCCTAGAAAAACTGCAATTCCGGTTCCGATCCTAACCGGTTTGGGTCCGGTGCACACCCCTAGTTAGAACAACATAATTTTGGCAAATAAATGAATGGAACGGATTACACATTATTTGCCTTGGGTACATATATAATAATACAAAGCATGCCTATACATACATACATACACTTTTGATTTATTTATTTATATATATACCGAACCAAACCATAAACATTAATTATATGCTTTAAATATAATTAAAGTACATATATATCTAGCTAGCTAGGCATTTATTAATTTATAATTACGATGTGTCACACACATGTTTAATTTAATTTGTTGCACTACTAATTAGCAGCTAGTAGTGCACGTACGTATAAATTAAACAATATAATAATTAATATGATAATAAGGTGGATAATTAATTAATTAATATAATTCATATACTTTTGTTCTCGCAGCAACACTGAAATATGGGAGTGCATGAGCCATAAGGGTAATTGAAGCTGTTACACCATTCCTGGCATTGCCTGTCTTTAAAGAAACATTTTCCCACTTTGCCACACTTGGGATATTTTTTCCCACCTTTGGACCACATTCCTGCTGCTTCTCTACTTGTACACATCCCTGCTTGTATTCCATGTAGACATTTTTATTTATTTATTTATTTATGGAAATTTAAAAATAAAAATCATACATATACATATGAGTATCAACATAATCAATCAAATAGCATATATATTTAATTTGGTTGGAAATAATTATAATTACCGGTAGAGAAAAGAAGCAATAGCATGAGGAATATGCTTATAGATAATCTTAAGAAATGCGCCATTTGACTTCTAAGTTTTTTCTTCTTCTTCTTGTAGTGTTTAATTTATGCAAAGATAATGTATACATATGAAAAGGAAAAATAAGCCCATATAAATACAGTGCATAATTAGCTATATACGTGTTTGTGGATCGGAGTTGGTTGATAAGGAAATGAGTTTTGAATGTGTCCTTTTTTTAAGGATCAAATTAGTTTGTAGTCATTTTTGGCACGACACCAACAATCTGATATAACCGAATAGCAAAAAAAGCTTCGTGTAAATCGATCACTTATATAACAAATACTCCATTGGTCGCAGAAAACATGAGAGAGATTTTGATTTTTAAGAGATTTAAATAGAGTTTATCTTGGTGTTGAGTATCTAAGAATGTTCTTGGGTATAATGGGCAATAGTAGGATTTTATGGGTATGTTAATAGTGAATAGATGATATGTGATATGTATGTTAAGAATTAGTAAGAGTAAAAATGACTTTTTAATAGAAATGAGAACTTTTTTTAGATGAATATGATGAAAAAGAAAGAAAGAAAAGTTTTCAGGGACAGATGAAGTATGTTGTTGAAATATTGGAATAATAATATTGCAACTAACTACTCCCTCCTTTTGCAAAAAGACTTCCCATTTTGATTTGGGACAAAAATAAGGAAGTGTTAAATTATACTCTCTCTGTCCCTCATAAATCTTTTCAATAGCCTTTTTTCTTTGTCCACAATAGATCTTCTCATTTCATTTTTTAACAATTAAAATACCACAACTACCCCCACTTACTTTATTTATTATACCTCACCCACCTCATTTAATACACTCCACCCATTTTCATTAAGGATATTATGGTAAACTTTCACCTTTTTTCAACTCTCCTTAAAAACAACCAAAAGTCAAAATGAAAACATTTTAGGGGGACGGAGGGAGTAGTTGATTTCCAATTTTGCCCCTGATGTGATGGGTAAAAGTAAGATGTGATGGATAGATTATTAGAGAAAAAGTATGATGTGATAGGTAGGGTATGAAAAAGTAAGGGTAAAAGTGGTTTTTTAATAGAAAGGGGAAGTGTTTTGTTGGAAGTGGAAAAAATGAAAGAGGAAGTGTTTTTAAAAACGGAGGGAGTAATAAAATACAACGTCAACCTTCTCTCTTCTTCTTCGACGCCAGCAGCTACCAGCGCACGTCAATTTCTCTCTTCTTCAACGATGTCAGCAGCTAACAGTGCATGTCAGAATTCTCTTCTCCAACGGCGTCAGCAGTCAGCAGCCACCGGTGCACGTCAAATTTCTCTCCTTTCAAAGTTTCCAGTTTCGAGCCCGTGTCCAAGTTTCCTCTTGCTTCAGCCAAAATTCAGCTTGAGAGGGGATGTTAGACAATAATAATAGTATTACTTGTGGCAGTATTGAATGTGGTAGTATTTCATTATTAGTCAGCTTCCTAATCCTATTTGTGGTAGTTTTTTTAATATGTTAGTTACTTTCTATTCTCTACTCCTAGTTGTGTTAAGAGTCTCTCCTATATATACTTTATTATGTACTTCATAATTCAAGAAGTAATATTATTATTCCAATATTTCAACATATGTTACACATAAACACAAATACCAATTGTCAGTGTGCATATAGACAATAATTTTCTGTGTATACTTTAACACACTTGGTGTGTAAGTGATATATATCAATGTCGTGTACCATTAGCACACCTCAACCTAGTAACAGATCATTGGCTACTTTTTCACTTAAGTTTTGGGATTTGAATTTAGTGATCATTATAAGAAAAGTGAAAGTGAGGCTATGTTCCGTGGATATGAATTTTAACTCAAATTCTATGGAATTAAATTGAATAAATTTGAATTGTAATTCAATTTCAAATTTTATGTTTGGTGTAATTAAGCAATTGCAAATGATATACTTTCTCCGTCCTTGAATGATTTTTCTATTTGACTCTTTACAATTTATAATATAATACTTCGACTCTTAATATATACTCCCTCCGTCCCAAAAAGATTTACACCTTTCAAAAAAATTGCGTTCCACAATCTTCTACCCATTTCTATTAAAAAACCACTTTTACCCCTTACTTTTTCAAACCCTACATATCACATCATACTTTTACCCATCACATCAAGGGTATTTTTGGAAAGTCAACACAAAATTATCTCTCCATTAATTTCAACTTTAGTCAAAACGTGTAAATCTTTTTGGGACGGAGGGAGTAAATTTTTTAGTGGTAATATTTTATGAAATTCTAATAAATTTAAAAACTATGTTTTATAATAAAATTATTGATAATACATTTAAATCAACATAATGTATTTCTTCTGAATACAGAGATCAAAGTTTGTATATGAGCTTTGACCTAGAAAAATCAAATAACTAGATGGAGGATGTAAAATTGTGTTATAATTCCACAAAAGAAAAAGAATGTTTTTTTCGGGACATAACAAAAAAAGTAAATCATGGTGGATTCGCCCTTATTTTTTATGCTTTAAGTGAGACAATTATAAGTACTGATTATAATATTAAAAATAAGATATTCATTCATGTGATTTGATTTTCCTCTTTATTTTCTAAATTGTTTAGTTCAATGCACGAAACAAAGCAAAACTAGAAAATCAACCACAAATACAGACTTTTTTTTTTATTTAACTTATTATTCATGTAATTAATAAAACACGAGACATGGGGAATGTCCATATACAACATGCATTACATCAAGCGGCGAAAATCTTATTATTTAATTTTATTTGATTATGAAGAGGAGGAGTTAATTTAATTAAATTAATTGATTGATTAGCAGTTTTTGTAGCAGTAGCAAAGGTGACGAAGGCCGTGGCACTCGCCCCCAGCAAAGCACTGACCGAGGCAGCTCTTGTGGCAGTCGTGCCCTAAAACGCATGGCCCAGTCCACCTCTGGCTCCTGTAGTGGCACAGCTTCCCTTCCGCCACCTTTATCCCTACTTCTGCACGTACTCCCACCCATAATATATATCATTCCATCAACAATAATAACAATAATAATATAATTAGGCACAAATTCTTTTTTATTTTTATAATCACCCCAAATTGAAAATTAAATACAATTATACTGCCTCCGTCCCACCATTTGAGTTTTATTTAAACAAAAATGATACTTCCTCCCATCCGTTTGCAAAAAGACTTCCCATTTTGATTTGGGGGCAAAAATAAAGAATTGTTAAATTATAGTTGATTTTCAATTTTGCCCCTGATGTGATGGGTAAAAGTAAGATGTGATGGATAGATTATTAGAGAAAAAATATGATGTGATAGGTAGGGTATGAAAATGTAAGGGTAAAAGTGGTTTTTTAATTGAAAGGGAAGTGTTTTGTTGGAAGTGGAAAAAATGAAAGAGGAAGTATTGTTGAGGACGGAGGGAGTAATATTCATTAGTACAAAAAAAATTTAATTAAACCTGTTCAGTTGAACATTTTCAAAACTTTATTTTGTTGAGAACTAATATGTAATATAAACGGTGAGTAATTGAAAATTAAAGTTTATCGTTTGACTTGAAAAAAACAAACTGGACAAATATAACATGGAGTAGAACGTAGGTAGTATATCGGAGTACGTATATAGCATATATTCTCTTTTTTCTATTCATTTATTTTTATTTTTTTCGGAATGGACGGATTTGAGGATATTTGATGAGAAAATGATTTAAAATCTAGCGAAAGAAATTAAAGCATGAGTAAAATATAGAAAATATTTATTTTCAAAGTAGAAGTTAAAATGAACATACGATGTCAATCATGTCAAATAGTATATATATATTTTGAAATATTCATGTACACTGTCATACTATTATAGTGCAAACTCCTATTTTGAAAATAAAAATATAGATTTTTATTTTAATACTCTCTCTCTATATTTTACTTCTATTTAAGGTCATTTCTTAGAAACAATGTTCACGATAAAAGTGGAGGCGTAATCATTTTCCTAAACTAATAGATTAAAAATGAAACAACAATAAAACCAGTAAAATCTCATAATAGCATGGACAGAGAGAAGATAAGTTGTGAAAATGAAAAATAAATGGAATTAACCATTGGTAGAGAGAAGCATCATAAAGATGAAGATAACGGCGATCGGAACGTTAACGCTGCAGGGCTTCTTCATCTTTTCTTTCCGATATTTATTTATTTATTTATTTATTATTATATAAATTAAATGAGGAAAATTTGTGACAAAGAAATGAGAATATGTGATATGATTGTGGTGTGTAGTTCTGCCATGAGGAACCATCCTATTTATAGGCAAACGTGGGGTGCAACAAATATACCACTACTCTTCTTCGTCATCCGTCCCAAAATAAATTACACATTTAAGATTATCTTTCGATAATTTTCTGTTTGTTTAATTATTTTTTATTGATCATATGATAAAGTAAAATATTTTTTTACCATGAATTTTGTAGAAATCTTGATGCATATTTTAAGTGTGTACATTGCATTATTTATTTGTATACAAATTTACAAATAAATTAAATTTAAAAAGTATAGAGTTTTGCACATTCTTCAAATTGCATAATCTAATTTGGAACGAAGGGAGTATAAAAAATTTCCGTGTTTGAATTTCACAAAATTTTTAAAAAAATTTGGACAAGTAAAATTTTTTTGTATGATTTTTTAAAGAAAAAAAGCAGGTGTTGTAGGAACAAAGAAAAGAAGACTAAAGTAGAACTAAAACATTGAAAATATACCGAAATAGGAATTTCATGTTTTTATTTTCGAAATAGGAATTAAAATGCATTTACATTACCAATCATGACCATCTACATGACATAAAATACACATGTAGAGTGCTAAATTACGACAGTGCGAACTCTTATTCAAGGGAAAAAAATATACTCCCTCCGTCCCAAAAAGTCCGACATGTTTCGAAAAAACTGCGTCCCGTAAAGTCCGTTACATTTCCATTAAAAAAACCACTTTTACCCTTTACTTTTTCATACCATACCTATCACATCATACATTTTTCCTAATAATCTACTCATCACATCCTACTTTTACATATCACATCAAGGGTATTTTTGGAAAGTCAACACCAAAATATCCCTCCCTTAATTTCCCAAAAAGTCAATATGTACCAATCTTTTTGGGACGGAGGAAGTATAACTCTTATTTTAGTACTTTCTAAATATTTTAATCCTATTTAGAGCAATTCCTTAAAAAACGATCTATCTAAATAAGATCGACTAAATATGGAACTTATTGATGATCTCTTGTGTTTTTATCCTGTATATAGAAGTGTTGGAATTGTTAAATATTGCAAATTTATGCCCGGTATTGATTTTTTACAGTGTTCTTTTATTATGTGTAGACATTATTTGACATAATATGTCTTATTTTTGTATAAAAACATTCATTGTCTTTGCTTCTTTTAATATACGGAGTATAAAACTGTTTTAATCATAATTAGATATTTATCCCTTTCGTTTAAAAATTCTTTTGGAAAGAAAAGTAAAGTTATTTGGGACAAAAAAATATTTTTTATTCGGGTCCCTAAGAAAAAAACTCATAATTATTCATTATTATACTCCGTACTTTTTTAAAAAATTATTCATTATTTTTCTTATAGTAAATTTTTTTTACTTTAATTAGGTCGTAATCCGAATGTATATTTTTTTCTTTTCTAAAAAAAGATGAGCATCATTCTCGAATACTCCCTTAAATTCATGTCTATCTACTTGGCACTCTCTAATCTTTACATTTGCTAATTGTGCAATGTGCTCAGTGACACATTTTATTTCCTACTCCCTCCGTCTCTAAATAAACTTTCCCTTTCGTTTTTTCTTTGTGACCAAATAAATTTCTCTTTTCTCTTAAAAAACTCATTTTACCCCTTACTTTTTCATACCCTACCTATCACATCATATCTTTTTACTACTCCTTCCGTTCCACAAAACCCTTCCTCTTTCGTTTTTTTGCTTTCTACAAAACACTTCCACTTTCTATTAAAAAACCACTTTTACCCCTACTTTTTCATACCCTACCTATCACATCATACTTTTTCACTAATAACCAAATTATCATGTCTTACTTTTCCCATCACATCAGGGACAAAATTGGAAAGTCAACCAAAATTACACTTTCCTTATTTTTCCCCGAAGTCAAAACCGGAAGGGTTTTGTGGAACGGAGGGAGTAATAATCTACATATCACATCTTACTTTTACACATCACATCAAGGGTATTTTTGGAAAGTCAACACAAAAATATTCCTCCTTAAATCATTAAAAAGTCAAAAAGAGAAGTTTATTTAGGGACGAATGGAGTAATTCTTTATCTTGTGGTCATTATTCAATTATTTTTCTCTTGTCAAAAAGAAAAAGAAAACAACCATCTCCACTTGTCATGATTTAACGTGTTAATCTGTAACCTTTTTGTTTGTCCCAATTCTTCTTAGAATTAAGAGCAATGTTAGGGGTACAACAAAGGTGTACCCCAAATGTACACTACTCCTTTCTTCACCACTCATTTTTATTTTATTTTTATTTATTTATTTTTTTTGAATTTCTTGCCTTTTTTTTGTGGACAAGGAGGGGGTGGGGGACAAATGGGGTACACATTTGGTGTACCCCTAGCATTTTTATAGAATTAAACTGTCTGCCCAAAAATTGTATCCATTTTGTACGGAGTATATACTTGAAGACATGTACTAATGTTTTGTGCTAATATAATGTTAGTGTGATGACTTACAATGATATAAAATGTTATTGTAATTTTTTAATTGAAATAACATTTTGTGTCAGTGTGACCGTTAAAATATTCTTACATTCTTTTGGGGCATAATTTGAGATTTACTTTTTGTCATTCTTAGAGCATTCACAATGGCAAGGCAATACCTTGCCTTTCCATGTCATGCCATGTCAGCAAATTCCACTCAAATCATGACATTCCATGGTCATTCCACCTCACTTTTCATTCCATGTGCAAGGCATGACTCTCTCATTTTTTATTTTTTTAATATTTTTAATTTTTGTAATTTTTGAAAAAAATATTTTGTTAAAAGAAGTAAACATATTTTAATAATAAAATAGATTTTTAAAATAATTTTTTATAATTAAAAATCATTAAAAGGTGCAAAAATAAACAAAAACAACAACTTGCCACTGTATGTTACGACACTCCACTCATTTGTCACACGGTGACTGAATTACTTTTTATTGGTTAAAATAATCCATGTTACCGTGTAACATTTAATTTTTGACTTGCCATTGTCAATCCTCTTAGTGTATCTTATCATCTACGGATACAGAAAATTTTCACGAGCTTTCAAACCCCGGCCCATAATTTAGTTTGTAATTAAATCGATTCCCTTAAGTTGGCATCAAGAGTTTTAATAAAAAGTTAGAGGAAACTTAATATTTTTTTCTCCATCCCTTGAAACTTTTCTTTTTCAACTTTTAATAAATTTAAAAAAAATTTCTAAATATATATACCCTTGATGTAATGAGAAATGTTAGATGTAATTAGTAGATTATTCTTTCGTTCAAGAATTATCTTCTCGTTCATAATTTAAATGGTCAAATTTGATTCACTTTGTTGGCTCATTCTCGTTGTGTATTTGATAAAATAATATAGTCATGTCACCACTAATTTTGTAGATGTTTTGATATAGCTTTTGAATACGTACATTTAGTTTTTTAATTCCATATCATTTTTCATATAAAATATTTAAAAATAACTATAATCAGACATCATAACGCACAAAGAGATGCTAATTTTTAGATGAAAGAAGTAATTAATAGATATAATGTGATAAATAGCGCAAACACAAGGATAAAGATAATTTTTTTAATAAAAATTATGCTTGGTGAACACCGCTTAGAGTACACCACATGTACACCAAGTCTAAAATAGACATACACAGACACTTAGTATCTGTGTGTGCCTATTTTGGGCGTGGTGTACATATGGTGTAACCCATTTGGTGTTCCCCTATGACCTCTCTTTCAATAAACATAAAAAAAAATTTGGGACAAGTTGATGAAGGGACATAATTGGAAGTATTTGACACCTTCACGTCTTTCTAAAAATAAAAAAAAGAAAAAGTTGGGTAGTACACTTGTAGCCCATGCATGTCCTTAGGTAAGTCCCTACATTACATTATTCACACTCCCTTTCGTCACAAAATTAAGCTTATTAATTTTTTCGTTTAATTAATTTTTTTTATTTACGTACAATATAGTTTACAAATGTTATTTTTAATTTGTTTACGTATTTTACTTTCTCTGTTTCTTACAGTGGTAATACATATCACGCCCAGCAGCGTTATGCCCCTTTTGACGCCCAGTGAGCGTTAAACACCACCCCCCTTGGGGCTTCATCCCGGCCTCATTGCATCAGCGTCATACATTTGACGCAACTTCTCCTTCCTATAACGGCTAATTTAGTCGTTGGAAGCAAAAAAAAATGTAATTTTTTACCTTAGTTTTTTAGTAATTTATTTTTTTACCTTAGTTTTTTTATTAATGGAAGACAAAAAGAGATTAAGGTAAAATATAATTTACCTTAGTTTTTTTTACTAATGTATTTTTTTTATTATTGTTGCTTTCTTTTTTTAATTTAATGAATATAATTTTTTTAAATTATTTTCGCTTCAATTTCTTTTAATTTTATGAAAGTATTTTTTTAAATTATTCCTGTTTCAATATAATTAAATAATAAAATAATTAAATTTTATTAATTTAGTTTTAGAAAATGTATATTTAAAAATATAAAAAATGAAGGTTTGAAGTCCCAGTTTGAAGTCCCAGGGCTTCAAACCCATTTCCACTGAATCTGTGAGGTAAGTTAAAGCTGACGTGGCAGAGAAAGAAATTTTGAAGCCCCAGTTTCAAGCCCCCGAGGCTGCATGGGTATTTCCAGTGCTCTTACAATTTTTTTTCATTTTTTCTCAAAACTACTTCACTTCCAACTAAAAAAACCACTTTTACACCTACTATTCCTTACCTTATCTATCACATTGTATTTTTTCAATAATAATAATATATACATCACATCAGATCAAGTATAAAGTTAGAAAGTCAACCATAAATATACCCTGGGCACATTTTTTATTTCTCCTAAAAATTAAAATAGAAACCGTATTATGAAACGGAGGGAGTAGTATTTGTGTCCCTTCAAAAAAAAGAATATTCGTATAAAGAAATTAAAGATTAGGTCATTCGCTAATTATCGGGTCGGGTTGTGGGTCTCGTGTAGAAGTTGTGCACATGAGCGGTCTGGAAAAATGAAAAATAAAATTGGATCGATGTAAAATTTCTATTTTGGGCTCATTTTAATTTTTTTTAGAATACTTACGAGCGAGTCTAAAAATATGAAGCCCTAAAATTCAAGAGGCTATGTACGGTCGGCCACTTTGCACAAAGTCATTCATGGTTGTGCACTTGTCCGGTAAGAGCATTGCACACTTGTAACCCTTGCATGCGTGCTATAACACAATCTTTTCAACACAAAATAGATTACACAATTATTATTTTGGAGGTTGGATATTTATTATTTATTTTATTGTTTTTATTTACCATTTGATAAATTACGTTATTCTTGCCCTCACTTGTTTTTTTATAAAATTTTTAAATGTAATTTTTAAATATATAAATTAAATTTTTATTTTTATATCAATTAAATTTGTATATTAATCAAATATGTTCCACTTTTTTTATCTCTTATTTTAATTAATGAAAGCATCATTCATATTTAAAATTTTATTTCATCTTTAGGACTACAATATTTCTTTTGTTCTATTTTATTTTATTGAAATAATAATCAATAAAAATGTTTACGCAAATAAAAATTATGACAGCTTCGAATAATAATTTAGAACGGAGATTTAAATAAAAGAACAACGATGTTTTTTTTTAAACTACTCCGTACAATAATGCATGATAAAAAAGAAACAAAAAAAAGTAGTCCAATAATGCTAGTAAGTGAAGAGTACGTAGGCATTGACACGTGTCCTGGGTCCTCTAAGGTTTTTAGATTGTTGACGGTGTTCTTATCCATCCACCGCTTCACCTCTTAGCACGGACAAAAAATCTGAATTAGCATAGTATCCAACCATTTATAATATTTTTAAATTAGATTTGATTTTTTCCATCCTGAACCAAAACTAAATCGATATCAAACATGATGAGACCGTGATGCAAATATTTAAAATCAATTATCAATCTTATTAAAAGTGCCAATCACGTAATTTTGGCTCGGGATGAAAAAAATCAATCTCATTTAGTTTGATATCGATTTGATTCTGGTTAAAAAGAAAAAATCAATCTCATTTAGTTAGATTACGTAATTGATACTATGCTAATTACGTAAATAATTGGTACTTTTAAATATTTGCATCACGGACCACTCTTAAGCGTATTTGGCACTTTTAATTAGATGAAGTAATTTAACACATTTATTTCATATTTGACCCCTCAGTGTTGCATTTCTAATTACGTCCACACAATTTTCAGGTCCTAAATCATACATTTATTTGTATTACATCTCTAATTCCTAAATTTTTTATAGATATAATATAATAAAAATTTGGGAATTAGGAATGTAATTTTATAAAGGGCGCTATGTAGGGCTTGAGAATTCTCTTTGAAGCAATTAGAAGTACAAAATTAAGCGGTTGAATACGAAATAAATGTGTTATGTTAACAAATTAAAGGTTTTTATTTTGTATAAGGACCATTTTGAAAACAATTTTTTTTGTAATGACGGCTTAAACAAAAAACATTTTACAGAAATCAAAAATAAAATTCGCATATTTTACAAAGACTAAAAACATATTCGACCATAATTAAATTTAATTTTGTATTAAAATTTAAACAAGGACAAAAGTGTCTCTTGCTTGATAGATACCTTATATATAGGGCAATCAAACTCAAAGTTCCTGTTTTGGACATTTGAAATCGAAAGTAAAGAAACAAATCAACAAATTAACCCAACACAAAATTGGCAAAAATTAACCACTCCATACAATGTGAGGTCCACTCAATGTCCACTTTCTAATTCAAAAAGGTTAAACTTATAGCTAGAGTCTCACATTTCCGGTCTTTTAAAAATATTTGATATAATAAATCTAATAAAATTATTTTTGTATTAATATCTAATACGGAGTATCATTTTTATTTAATTTGAGGTCAATATTTATCAATTTTAACTGAAAAAATAAAAAATGGACAAATACTCATATAGGAGAGGGATATGCTAGTGATACTTCACTTCGTTTTCTAATGTGGAAACACGCACCAACAAAGTTTTACTCCCTCCGTCCCTAAATATTTGCCATACTTGTATTCCCGAGACAAAATATCAAGTTTTTTCAATTCATTTTATCTACATATTGGTATGGAAATAAAAAATAAAATTTACATATCAAAAAACTACATGAAAAGTTCTTCGAAATAAGAGGTGTCAAGAATATTTTATTTTATCAAATAACCAATGAAAACGTAGAAATAAACAAAAGTTTTCGCAACTGCTGAAAAAGCAAATGTTGTGAATATTTTGGGACAGAGGGAGTATATTTTTGTCTCTGTAAAATATATGTTGTTTAAACTATCATTACAAAAAACTCTATTTTGAAAATACTTCTTAAAAGTAATTAGCACTTCTAGTTAGATGATATAACATTCATATTAATCTTCAATTCTTAATTTTTTTAAAGATATAATATAATTAAAATTTGATAATTAGAAATACGGAGTACAAAAATAAACACTTGAGTACTAAATAAATGTGCTATGTCAATAAATTGAAAGTTTTAATTTTGTAAATTGATCATTTTCAAAAGAACAATTCTATAATTTGTCCTTTATAATAGGGTGTTTCCATATTTAATATTCTATTATCAAATATCAAGTCTATAGTTCTTTAATGAGTATCTTTTTATATTTAGTTCCTTTTTGATCTTTTATCATTTTGGTACGTGCTAATTATTTAATGACTAAAAGTATAATTTTACATCAATCCCATGTCCAATTATGCATTTAGATGTCCACTTGACGAACAACACAACAATAATGACTATAACCATAGACTAGGATTCTCACCAGAGACGAAATCTCTAGATTATGGTTGTAGTGATTTACGGCTTCATTTGAGGAGCGACACATCAGCAGCAACATCTTGCACTGGCTATGTCAAAAAGGATATATGATCGTTGTAAAGTTAAAAAGATATATATATGATCGTTGTACATATTACATGAGCCAAAAAACTCACGTATTTTACAAATATTAAAAATATATTTAACCCTAAATTTAATTTTGTATTAAAATTTTAAACAGGGGCAAAAATGTCTCTTCGTTGATAGATAACCCTTATATAGGGCAATCAATCTCAAAGTTTTTATTTTGGACCTTTGAAATCGAAAGTAAAGAAACAAATTAACCAATATAGAAGATTCAACCTAACTCTACTAATATGAGATTCTTTAAAAGATGTCCAAAAACAAACTCCCCAAGACTTAGGCTTTGTTTGGTAACAACGTTTTCGATTAGCGTTAGCGTTTTGGATAAAAATTTAATGGTGCAGATTAATTCTGAAAACACTAACGCTAAAGGCTACCGTCGGATAGCTTTTTCAAAACGCTAACGCTAATCTCTGACGCTGATGCCAAACGGGGCCTTAATTGAGTGTGCAGCACAAGAAAGCTCAATTACGGACTATTTTAAAGAACAAATTAAAATGGATTATTTAAACAATAAGAATTTACTTAAATAATACTAAAATATAGTGACTTTCCTAATGTCGTAGTACTATATATTTTTATTTTTTAATGTAGTATCACTGGTTATTGTCCACGGGTCACTATTCAAGTAAATGGTCATCGCTACTAGACATTGTTCAAATTAAATGTCCAATATCACTGGACATTGTTCCCGCCACTAGACATTATTCAAGTTCTATCTAGAAAATAAAAAAAAATTAAGTACTACATTTGAAAAGGATATATATTTTAGTACGAAGTACGGAGTAGTATTCGGTGCAAATTTCACAAACGTATCATTAAGGCACACAATTAGTGAGAAAAATCACACTAGGATACGTAGTTTATATATTATGGGATTGAGTACAATTTATTTATTTAATCCAGAAAACAAACACACAACAAATATTCAAAACACACACAAATCTTTAATTTATTGTGCCCAAGCAACAATTACTTCCTAACTGATGATATATAGTGTTAAATCGATCAGCTGGCATTGTAATTAATATAAATTAATTATTACACACAAACACACACCAAGTATATATAATAAAGAAATAATTAATAATTAATTAGCAGGGTTTGGTGCAGAAGCAGCGGCGGCGAAAGCCACGGCAGTGGCCGCCGTGAAAACGCTCGGTGTGGCAGACGGAAGCGCAGTTGTGGTCACTCACGCATGGCCCTTTGAACTTTTGGCTCTTCGATTCACACGTCCTCCCCTCTGCAATCCCCATCTCTGCATGCATTCCATTTTTAAATTATTCTTTAGTTTTGCACTAATTTAAATTATACCCCTATCCTACCACTTCTCATTTGATTTTTAAATTTTTATTCCATATATATATATATATATATATATATGACTAAAAGGCCGTACGTTTCCCTGGATAGAACTAAATATATTTTATTCTTTTTGTGACGTACACATAATTTCATATGATCTGTCATATGTGCGCTCTCATTAGCAAGAAGTATTGGATAAAGACCGGTTATAAAAATGACTCTACGAATGTGGTTATTAGAAACAAATATTGGATAATGACTGATTAATTCAATGACTATTCAAATTATTTTTAAGAATATTTTATTCTACTTTAATTGTGTAATTGGTCGTTTTTGTTTATTCTTTAGTTTTGGACTAAATTGTAACCCTATCCTAAAATGTTTCATTTGATTTTTTATGGTCTCTAATGTAAATTTTTTTACCATTACTATATCTATTTTTTATATAAATATATATTTTAAAAATAATATATTTCAAAATTATGTTTCAAAATGAAAATATATTGGTAAAATTTTTATTTGAAAATTAAACATGTCTTTTTCTAATATGAGGTCAAAGTTTAAAAATTTTGACTGCAAACAAAATTAATTTTAGGACGGAGTATTAGAATAAAAGTTAGCAATTTAAAACTTGCGCATAAAAAAAAATTGCGTACCACTTGCAAAAAGAAGCATCAAGACGAGGGATAAAATGGAAAACATTTTCATGGGGAATGCCATAAATATATATATTTACTACTTCAATATAATTCTCCCTCTTGGCTCTTTTTGTTTGTATGGAAAGTGAGTATGGTGGAACTATATATACACACATAGACATAAGGGCGTGTTTGGTTTGGAGTTTGGACTAGCATTTTCATTTTTCACCTGACCCTAGTGCTTCTCTGCCAATGGGGGGGAAATATGCTTCCCAAAATATATAACTCATTTTTAAGGAGTGAGTATACATAAAATACATAATCTATTTTAGAATATTTTAGGGTTTGTGATTTCACCAAATATAAGAAAATTGTTGATAAGATGTTAAAAATATATAAAAAATGATATTTGTTAAGAAACAATATTTTGGACCATATTCTTTTTCAAAGACGCAAAGGAAAGAAGTACTCCCCCGTCCCAAAAAGATTGGTACATATTGACTTTTTGGGAAATTGAGGGAGGGATATTTTGGTGTTGACTTTCCAAAAATACCCTTGATGTGATGGATAAAAATAGGATGTGATGGGTAGATTATTAGAAAAAATGTATGATGTGATAGATACGGTATGAAAAAGTAAGGGGTAAAAGTAGTTTTTTAATATAAATGTAACGGATTTTACGGGACACAATTTTTTTGAAACGTGTTGGATTTGTTGGGACGGAGGGAGTAGATCACAATTTCGAGACAAGTGAAAAAGAAAGGTGAAAGGGAGGTCGGATTTACGCAACACGATCTCTATGTTTAAAATATGGAGGACTGTTTTTTGATGACACATCATGAGCGTTAATAGTTGTATTAACTAATTGTTATTATACTATTAAAAGAAATACCGACAATTTAATGAGTTATTTTGATTTATTTCATCATATATTACAAAATTAAGAAATAGTGATTCTTTGGCTTAATAAAAGAAAGTACATAATATAACCTTTAAATAGCCTATCAGGCATTGATGGTAATGAGGATGATGATGATTCGATGATGTTAATAGTATTATTATTTTTATTATAATATTCGAAGGATAATGTTATTGCCTCCTGCATTTGGACCTAAAAGTATTGGGCAGCGTATACATAAAAAAAATTCGGATCACAACCACAAATTTGAATTTTTGGTTGAATCAATTTATGGACATTTATGGTATGATTGGTATCAAAGCTTTGTTGACCAAAAGGTCATGATCGAATTGGAAACCCACCGTCATCCATTTAAAAATAAGTTTTCCGTGCAAGATTCAAATAAAATCATGCATACATGCACGTGAAAATTTTTCGTTGACTAAAAAAAATCATGCATAAATCTTTTTGAAACCACAACTACAAGTTTGAATTTTTCGTTTAATCAGCTTCTTGACACACCCAAATGACAAATGATGTCTTGTGGGAGGGATTTATTGTAGTTGGCCAAATTTTAATGGCGTTCTGGGACTTACTCCATCCGTCCCCAATTATATTACAATTTTTATTTGTGTGTTTTCATTGAGTATTTGATAAAATAGAGTACTCTTATCACTTCTTGTTTTACGAAACCTCTTACGTAATTTTTTAATATGTAATTTTATTTCTTATTGAGGTACCAATTTGTAAACAAAGTGATTTGAAAAGGCGAGAAATTTTACCTTGTATCTCTCAATTTATAATCAAATAAAATTTGTAATCCACCATTGATTAGGCAAAATGATGAGAGGCAATAATAATATACACATACTTTACAACTAGCATACACAATTGTATGCATTGCCATATTGGTGTCATTTCATGGCATGGAGAAGCCACATCACGCTATTCTAATTGTGCTTAGGGCCCGTTTGGGACGTGGAAAGTGCTATTAAAGATAATTGGTGTCACTTCTTCTTTTCATTAAAGAAATGATAATGTTTGTAAGTGTCATGTATGTAGATTGGGTAAAGATATATAGTTGAATCTCACTTCTCATACAAATTTTGGCATTAAACACAAACACAGACTATTATTCTACACAAACAATTATTATCTGTGTTTGTTTATAAATTGTCTTATGCTAGTAGATTTATGTTAAAGGAAAAGATATATTCTCGTATATATTATTAAGTACATGGTAGTTTCCTTGTATTGTTCCGTTTCCTATCGTAGTTCTTTGCTTTGTACGGAGTATTTTATTTTCATATAAAGCGAGCTTCTAACCTCAAAGTCTACTCCTAGTTCAATTCTTACTTGTTTAATTTAATTGTTTTCTATAGTTCTGTGTGTTTAGTTTTATATTTTTAATTTTTTAAGTGATTTACTCTCTTTTACGGAGTATTATAAAACGCTTACTAAAAACTTCATGTCCTGAATGAGTAAGTCATTAGTGCTTCTTTCTCCTCTTCAAATGAGTCATTAGCTCATCCCCTTTCATTTGTGAAAAGTAATGCTTCTATATATCCCAAATTAGATTAAAATTATCGCAATGCGAAGTAAAACTCAGTATTTTTGAAATCATTTTATTCAAAAATTGGCATAAGTATCAAAAACAACTTACACATTAAAAAAGTACGTCAAAGGTTTTAGAAAATAATTCATGGCGCAAATATGTTATTTTATCAAATAATAAATGAAAAATAAGCAAATAAACAAAATTATCAGACAAAAAAATGTCATCAATTTCGGGAAGGAAAGAGTAAATGTTAGTGACTCATTTGCTTCCATCTCAACGCCACTTTATAAATCACCTCCCATAAAGTACAAATATTTTTACTCCGTACTTTTTTATTATTCTACTTTCTCCGTCACCAATATAGGTCTTTCCCTTATGCATTACGTGGTTTAATAGAATTTATTTTTTTAATTTAATATTTTTGATTGCAGATGTAAAATTTAAAAGTAAAATTATATTAAAAAACATATACAAAACAAGATATGACTAGACTATTATATTATGAAATAAATAATAAAAAATAATCAAATTAAGAGAGTTAAATTTGACACTAAAAATAGTATCTTAAAAAATTTATAGCAAACGAAGTAACTACTAGACAAATAAGACGGACGTGCACATTTTATAAAAGCCCGTTCTTATGAGAGATGACATTTGAGAGGCCCACTTTTAGAGTTTATATTGGGTCAACTTGGGACTCTAATACTTTGGCAGACATCCCAGCCCAGATTCAATGNTTGTTTTCTTTATCTGATTTGATTAGAATAAGTTTTGATCAGGTCTAATCTAATATGACTATGGTTATATTTAAATATATTTTTTATCTAATTTTTTCTGATCTGATTACAATAGGAATAAATAAAAAGAATAAGTTGAAGAGAGTTCTTAGTCTCATTGGAAAATTAAAAAAAATGAACACTTCATCTCATTGTTAGTGAGATTAAGAAATATTCCCTCGCTTCTCATTTAACGGATATTACTTTTAATTTAATTTACTTGAAAACCAGTGTGAAATAAAAAATATTTTCTTGAAGAATCATTTATAGTCATAGTAGTTTTTACTTAGTTATGAGTCATTTGATTAAATAATAGTCAGTATAAATTTTATTTTTAAAAATTTTATACGAACCAGATATGCATTTAATCGGTGGTATGGTATAACTAAATAACCTGAAAGAGTAAATCCAAGTCCGAACCGACCAATTTGCAAATTTTGCTACTTTTAGTATTTCGCTTTCCTTTATTTTTTTTTTTTGTAATTTTGGATTTATATTTTGACTTGGATTTCTAAAAATAAGTGAGTAATCTATACCTAACAACATATTGTAATCTTTAAAATTAAGTACTCCGTAATATTTACTAAATACAGAGTATAATTTAATTCGAAGTATATAAAATTATTTGTTTTCTTTTATTTTTTTCCTTATTTTAATTTACTAAATGTATGTATGAAATGTTATGTAGTATGGAATACTATTCATAAAATAACACACTAGCTAATAATAATATGAACCGGTCATTATTGATATATATGTTGATCAGGTTATTGACATGATTTAACCAATACGACCATTCAACTATTCACCCATTCACCTCTTCGATTTGATATCCAACCCAATTTTCATAACTTAGAAGTGACATAACTATATTAGTCTATCAAAGTAATAACTAAAACTAACAAAAGAAAAGAGAAATTAGACAAAATTTAATATTCAAATAGTAAACACTCAATATAAATGAGACAAGTGAGTAGAAAATATCCAAGGTAATGCGAATTCAGAGTAAAAATTAGATAGAAAAAAGGTTTGAAATTAAAAAATTGTTGGTAATTTTTTTAATGTCACTCGGATACCATAGTGATGATTTCAATCCATCGAGATATATAAAATATATTCTTTTCTAGGATGATATATAAAATATATATAATATAATATCCGATAATAATATAATAAATGTATATAACAAGATAAAAATTCGATATTTACGTGAAAATCCAAATCGAGGAAAACTAATAGATATTTTTAGACGGTACCATGCCAAAGGACTATTTCATTATATCTCAGGGAGTATTCATACATGATTTGGGCCCGATAGCCATTGATTGAGTGTGAAGCTCTATGAGAATATGTAGGACTCATTTGGTTCTCCCTTTATAAAAAAGTGACACCTTATTTATAGTAGAACGACAGAAGTTAAGATTTTCTTAATGGATTTCTCTCGGTCTGATTCAACATCTTTAATTACACCCAAAAGATATTATTTCATCACGTAGTGTTGTAGAGATACATACAAATAATAATTGTTTCTGTTAGCATAAAGACTTTTTGTTCATATAATATTATAATGTCCTCTTCATAGAAAAAATTATGATGTAAAAATAGTGTCAAGAGTTGAGTTGGGGTCAGCAAAGATTTTTTCAAAAACTTTATAATTTAATCATTAGTGCTAGCATAAGTGAGGTATAGTATCATTATTACCCTGAAATACAAGAGGGTATGCATAAGTGAGGTATAGTATCTTTACTTTCTTAATTTGAGGAGGTATATCAATTTTTTACACTTTTTAAATTTCTATCAATTATTTTAGTTATTATATTTTTTGTACTTTTGGATACTTTGTTTTTTAATTTTGTACTCTATATTTTTTAGTTTTTTCTACTTGGGTATTTAAAATTTTATTTGACAACTGACATTCTAACTTTTTTTGAATAAATTAGTTGGATTTTTATAAAATTTTTGAATTAAAAAAATTAATCAAGAAGAAACAAAGGCAGCAAACCTCAAATTTACCTCCCCATGACATTTTAACGAAGGTATGTTTTCTTTTCTAATAATTGAAATTTGATTTAAGAAGGTAAATCATCTAATTTTTTCCCCAAAAATGTATGGAGATGGATTTTTTTCCTCTTTTGCTTTTTGATTTACCTTCTCCATTGGAGTTGCACACTTTTTGGAAAGGTAAACTTGATCATTTATAGAGGTAAATAAGATATATACCTCTCTAAGATACCTCCCACCATTGGAGTTGCACTTACGTCTCAAATGAGAGACTAAACTCACCCTTAATTCACAAGAGGTGGGGTGTGTTCCCCTAATCACACACGCTGGGCCCTCCCAAGGATCCTTCATATCTTCAATCATTACCCTACAATGGCCTACAATCACATTCACATACGGCCTCAAATGAATGGAGTTTATAATTACCCACTACTCTTTTTCCTAAAATCAAAATTGAAAAAAAAAGATGAGCGTGATCATCTCTAAGCCTCTAAGGGTTCCTCATATTCGATCATACGGTTATCCATAAAAAATAAATTGAAATTTGATTGTTCATTGGTGGAAAAAATAAAGTCTGCAATTGATATTTAGAAATAAATGTCATCCAACGCAATTATTAAAAATCGAACTTGAATCATATCTCTTTGACTCTTCTTGTTTTTGCCAACCGCGCAATGTTCAGTGACAATAAAAAAAATTAGTGTATCCCTAACATTACTCTATTATTTCACATTCGATCACATAACACTATTGTTTTTTAAATTTTATGTCAAATCAAATCACGGATCTTTTCTTGGTCAGAGAGATTACTACCTCCCGACTTTATTCTAAAATATTTGTCGAGTTTAACTTTTAAAAATCAAAATGGACTTCTTATTTAAGTTAAATTCTACAAATTTATCAATTGAATTAAAATTTTATTTAATTCTAATGCAAAAAATGAATTTTATATTGCGGAAAACTAATACGAGTAATATAAAATTTTTCTTACAAATTTGATATAATTGAAATTGATAAATAAAAATAAGGAGTAAAATTGTAAAATAATACTCCGTAATGCACATATCTTATTCTTATCTTCTTGACTTCTTCATTCACCATCGTCTGTTGAATCTAACTACAGCCTTTCAAGTTTCAAGAAAATCCAATAAGAGAAAAAGAAAAAAACAATACTGATATTTATAGTCAATTTCATATAATTGTCAATAATTCAACTGGGAAAAAAAAATCAAAAATAGGAAATTTCCAGGAAGTTGATGATATTGAATCTTCTGGTAGAAATCCCCAAGTAAGCGGCTGGAAATGGACTCCAAGTCACTGAGATTCATCAACCACCAGTCCTTGTTCGCGGCGGCGCAATCCGGGGACGTCCAAGCGCTCCGGGAACTCCTCGCGCCGCCGCCGCCGAGCAATAATGGCTCCGGCGGGTCCGAACCCGACCCGAATTCGCTCCTGGCGCTGCAGAACGACGCGGGGAAGACGGCACTGTACGTCGCGGCGGAGAACAACTGCGTGGAGGCGATCAGGTTCCTCGTCGGGCTCTGCGACTTGCAGACGGCGAAGATCAGGTGCAGAGGCGACTCCGACGCCTTCTCCGTCGCCGCCGCGCGCGGCCACCTGGGTAAATTACTTCGTATCCTTCATCTTTTCCTGTTAGCTACGCTTTCTATCCATTTCTTTTCTTGTGGATTTTTGTATATTATTGTACGAATATCGTATTGATTCTGTGTGTTCATTTGATTTGAAAGCTTTTGAGTGGTAAGAAGATTGGGAAATCCAGAATCTTAAATTTTCCATTAATCAGTATTCGAAACGTTTCATTTTAATTTTAAATCAGTATATAAAGGCCTTTCATGCTTGAGAATTTATAAGGGATGTTTGATCAAGATGATATAGGCTCCGTTTGGCATCAGCATTAGAGATTAACATTAGCCTTTTGTAAAGGCTTTGTGACGGCAGCGTTTTCAGAATTAATCTACACCGTTAAAATTTTATCCAAAACGCTAACGCTAATCGAAAATATCGTTCCCAAACAAGGTCATATTAGACTTGAGAATATGGATGGAAATAAAAGGGTTCTTTAATGGCATATGATAGAGAAATCAGAAATGTTAAGCTCAAACATATTCCCATCCCATTCAAACACATAAATCTAACTCTGCAGCATATACATATCATATAGGGATAATCAAGGAGCTTACATCCAAGTGGCCGGAGCTCTGCAAAATATGCAACTCCTCAAACACGAGTCCTCTCTACTTAGCCGCCGCGCAAGGCCATGTGGAAGTGGTGAGTGCCATTCTGGACGCCGACGCGAGCTCGGCGAAGACCGTGAGGAAGAACGGGAAAACCGCACTGCACAATGCGGCGAGGTACGGTCTGATGCCTGTCGTGAAGACGCTGATCGAGAGGGACCCGGAGATCGTCTCCGTCAAGGACAAGAAAGGGCAGACCGCCCTCCACATGGCGGTCAAGGGCCATGACAGTTCGGTGATAGAGGAGTTATTGGATGCCAATCATTCCATACTGAACGAACGCGACAAGAAGGGCAATACTGCTTTGCACATTGCCACCAGAAAAGCCCGGCCACAGGTAATGTTCTATTATGAACTTTTAGATAGATTAAAAATTGAATGAATGTGGACGTACTGTATGTCCACATTCATTCTATATTCTTAATGTATCGAATAATTATTTAAGAACAGAATGAGGCCAGTTCGAACTCGTTTTGTTCTCGGTACGTGTTTTTCATTTTTATTTCTATATCAGAAATGTAGACTTTCAACATTGTGTTCTAAGCTGTCTATAAAAGTTTTATGTTGTTTTTAATGTTGTATGTCTGAATTATGTTACTACTACCTCAATAACTATCTTCTTTTTTTCATCTGATTTTGATAATCTCAGATTGTGAATGTCCTGTTGACTTACACATCGATTAATGTCAACGCATTCAACAATCAAAACGAGACGGCGATGGATTTGGCAGACAAACTCCAGTACGGAGACTCATCTCTGTCAATCAAGGACTCTCTAATGGACGCCGGCGCGAAGAACGCCAGGTTCATCGGTCAGGTGGATGAAGCTATGGAGCTGAAGAGGACGGTGAGCGACATAAAGCACGAAGTGCAGTCCCAAGTCATACAAAACGAGAAAACCCGTAGGCGGGTTTCGGGGATTGCAAAAGAGCTCAAGAAGATACACCGAGAGGCGGTCCAGAACACGGTCAACTCTGTGACCCTCGTGGCAGTCTTGTTCGCTTCCATTGCTTTCTTGGCCATCTTCAACTTGCCGGGGCAATACACGGACTCGGGGGAGGCGCGGGTGGCGGAAACCGCCGCGTTCCGCATCTTTTGCCTCCTCAACGCCACTTCACTGTTCATTTCCCTGTCTGTCGTCGTTGTCCAGATAACGCTCGTCGCGTGGGACACACGGGCCCAGAAGAAGGTGGTCTCGGTGGTGAACAAGATGATGTGGGCCGCGGGGGTGAGCACGTGTGGCGCGTTTCTGGCGATCGGGTTCGTCGTCGTCGGGAAGAAAGTCAAGTGGATGGCCATCACTATTACCGGCCTCGGCGTGCCCATCCTCATCGGGACATTGATCGGTTTGTGCTACGTTATCCTCCGGCCCCACTTTGGCGGCGGGGACTCTCAGAGGCGGATCAAACGCGGGAGCGGGAGCAAATCGTTCTCCTTGTCGTTCTCCTTCAACTTTTCCGATTTAGACGACTATAACTCCGACGAGAAGATCTATGCTCTGTGAATTGGACAACTGTTGTGTCGTTTTTTCTGTGAATGTCTGTGAGAAGGGTATTTTCTTATGCCATTGTCCAAAGCTTTAGGTGCTTTTTTGTTCTTCATTTTTTTACTCTTGCATTGTTCATGAAGATGTAATTTGTGTGTTTTAGTGGCATGGAGAGATTGGACTATTGGTAGATATATGTAGGGCTGTACATAAAGAGTGTATTATTAACTTTGTTTTAGTGAAGTCTTTAAAACTTTAAATGTTTTTGTGTTGTCTTTGGTTAAATATTCTCTACATTTACATCACACTTAAATTACATCCAAATTTTGACATATATAAACAAGTCTTGTTTGTTCTATGAATTTGGTTTAGAACAAGTCATATTCAATTTTTTAAAAGTGTAAATCCATTTTTTCCAACAAGAACTTTTTTGTAATGAATGAATGAAATAAAAGAACACAAAAATTGTACATCAAGTTTTCACTAAACTTATAATTTTGATTGACACTAAAAGACCTTTTTTTTTGCTTTACAAATGATGTGTCCGTAATTCAAAATTTGAGATGCAGTGTAAGCGTGATGTATATGTGGCATTTTACAACTTCATTGGCTTCTACACATTTGTTAATTGTTAGTATGTTTGTTTCAGCTTTTTGTGATAAATGTTCTTAAAAAATCATTGAAAATATAAATTATTTGCGTTTGTTTGAAATTTTAAAAGTAAAAAGTAGTGAATTGGTTGTCTAAAAAAACTTCAAAAAAAAGTTTTGTAATTCAGCTTTTTGAAGAAAAATTATCTTGAAAAGGTTGTTCGTTGAACATTATTAATTGTTGTTAAAAAAGTAATTCTTGACTAAATGGAACTAAAAAACACCCCCTTTAATAATAGGTGTTTAATCTCTAATCTTTGCTAATACCACCAAAAGTCCAATAAGTTATGCTCTTTACTTTTCTTTTTAGTGGGGGGGGGGGGGGGGGGGGGGGGGGGG